TTTGTTTGTACATTTTGATGATTGTTGTTAACGATTATTTTGAGATAGTGTTGATCTTGTAGGCATACATATTATCGATATTCAGTTATTAAAACAATTCACTACGAGGTTTTTATTATTATTATTTTTATCATTTCAAGTTTTCCTACAAATGAAAAAAGGAAGAAAAAATGGTTGGAAATCATAGGACTGCCGAATATAAACGTTGAATCAAAGACCATCTTCATTTGTTCGCTTCATTTTCAAGAGTCAAATTTTAACAGAACTTTGAATGTAACTAGATTACATGACAATGCTATTCCATCATTAGGTTTATTGGTAAATAATTTTATGTTCAATTTAGATTAAACAGGACTTATTTACTAGTTACTCTCAGTTCCTGAAAACAAAATTCTCCACTCGTTTCTGATTTTTCCCAATGACAACTGTAACTATTAAAAATGACTATAAAGCCTGCAATACAATGACATGTTAGTCCAACGTTGCCGGGTAAAGGCCAATACCAACGCCCTAAACAGCCTATTTGCCTTGCCTTGCCATCGTTCGGTGTCACTCGCTAGCTGACCGAGTGAAGGCGAGTGCCAGCGTGTATAGAGTTCATTTGGCTTATCACAAATCAAAGGCGCTCGGCCAATAGTGTTCACACGTTTGTCCGTCCGCATATGAAATGCATACTGGTTTTACAACGCTATCCAAAAAAAAACACAAAATAAAGAAGTACATATTATATATCAACAAAATGTCATGTTGTTCTGTTTCTAAAATAATCAGCATCCACCATCTTCTTTGTTGTCATTTCTTTTTTACAACTTTATTCCGGGGATTCACTGACATGATAATTATAGGTGCCATTAATAAATAGCAGCAACTGCAATAACTTCTACGTCATCCTTCTCGTTTCAACGCACAATAAAAACTGACAGCGACTAACGCGTGGGCAGCTACACAAAAGTCTTGTGCAATGGTTATTTGTATTGATCTTTTTCAAACTTGTTGAAAGTGTAGACAGTAGTACCAGCTGTGTATTAATTTGCCTGTGCTCGCGTTGACCTAGGCTCGACCAATATGTATTTGTAGGCTTACTTGTTTACTCTACAGCCAACTGTGCAGCCAAATACATCTGGAATGTTAACTGAAGTGTAGAATATACAGACAACAAATGCTATTACCCAGGTGAGTGACAATCAAGCATAACAATTTCTAATACGTTTAGTCAGTGTTTTTAAGATGCTTACTTGTTTCAGCCAATTGTACAAAGTACTTCTGTAAGAATGTTAAATCAAGTGCAGAATATGCAACAACAAATGCTGTTACTGAATCTACTTCTAATTAATTTGATATGTATATAAATCAATAATCTTGGAGTAGTAATTTTAAAATTTTGGCATCTATTTTTTATAACAGTCAAAATTAATAATATAATAGGCATTACTTTTACATATAAATTGATTTGGTTTTTAAATTCTAGGACAATATTGTTAGAGAATCGAAAAAGAAATGTGAGAATCAGCGGCGAAAAATTAAAACTTTAAACGAAAAAATCAGACGACAGAAAATAAATATTGCCAATATGGAAAAAGTCATGTCCGAGCTCAAGGAGCGGAACTTAATAAATGCTGAACAAGTTACATTTGTCACTCCGAAATTATTTAAATAAAATTATTTTATTCCGTCATTAATAATTTTAGTATTTTTACCCGACTGCGTCAGAAGGTGGGTTATATTTTTTGAGTGTATATTTGTTCATTTCTTTTTCACGCTGTACAGCCTTTATGGTATGATGGATTTTGACATATGAGGTGTCGTTAGATTCATCTTGATTGGTGGGAGTGTCATAGGTTTATCTCTTTTCAGTTATTTTTTTGCAGTAGTTTTTATTTTTTTAAATAATTTGGTTTTTGTAAATCTATATATACATATTTAAGGAGTACGGTCCGGAGCAATTCGCTGGTAGATGGACGCATAGCAAAAACTGTAAGTACTAGAACATGATAACTTGAGGGTATATTTAGGTATATATAGAGGGGGTAATTTTATTTAGTGAAGGAGTACTAAGAACGGTTTTTTCGAAATTCATCCCTTAAGAGAGCGAAAACGTATAAAATCGTTTGCATGAAAAATAATATTCCTTGAAATTACAAAGACGAAACTTTGCATAAATATTTTACAATAAAAATGGCATGACAGTTTTTAAAAAATGCGGCGAAATGAGGTAATAAAGTTTGTATGGTAACTTTTTAACGCGTGGTGCGATTTGCTTCATACTTGAATATTTTTCATTTGTATAAACATTTTACGCAGACGAAGTCGTGGCGAAAAGCTAGTACATGATAATTGTTGATATCCGATAATTGATTTTTACAACTACTTCCATTATTTCTGTGTTAAAATTGCTTGATAGATTCATTTGCTTAAGAAAGCCCGGGAATTAACGGGAATGCTAGAATCCGCAGAAACCTGAATAGACTTGTATTTTGACAGTTAGTCAACAGACGTTACGTAAATATGTACTAAATGTAGGTTAAAGGCGTAGGTACCTCTTAAAGTAATTTTTATATTTTATTTAGTAAGTACAATTAATACTAAATAATGTTGTATACCAGTAAAGTAGGTATAGGTAGGGCAATGTTGAGTGTGCGCGTTAAAAAAAAATTAGTAAGAGTACGCATGTCGCCAACATACTGCACAACAGTTTAGTGACTATTACTAAATAAGTTACCAATTAAAATTGCTTGATAGATTGATTTGTTTAAGAAAGCCAGTAACGTGAATACTAGAATCCGCAGAAACCTGAATAGACTGGTAGTTGACAGTTAGTTAAAAGACTTTATGTAAATATGTACTAAAATGTAGGTTAAAGGCGTAACTCTAAAAGCACTTTTTATATTTTATTTAGTAACTACAATTAATAACTATGTAATGTTATATACCAGTAAAGTAGGTATAATTAAGTAAGAATGCGCATGTCGCCAAGAAACTGCACAGCAGTTTGGTGACTTTTACTAAATAAGTTACCAGTTGCAATCTTGAAAATATTTTTTTTAAAGTTTAAAAATGTGTGTTGACATTTATAATAATATACCACTCGAGATTAAATTATTAGACTTGTGTTTGTTTAGGCATACTTTGGTTCGAGTAAACTAATGAAACAAAAATAAACAGTTTCAACATTCAAGCCATACATTTGCATGTCAATAATGACTTATCGATAGATTATGGTACAACACTAAAGAAATCCGCCATTTGTAACTTTCAAATTTTGGTTATATGCACGCTGATTCTGTAGTTAGGGCAGCTCCTTTCTTTTATTTTTTTTTCCATCCTCTAAGTAAAAAACGCACTGATTTGAGGGTAGGATATTCCCGTAACGTCAAAAAGGTCGTGAACGACAATTAATCGTGTTGTTCTGTGTGTGAACAACTTCATTTAATTAATTAAACAAGCCATGAAGCCCTTAAAAAATCATTTAAGGGGCAATATGTATACGCTTGTATAACAAGATTCCGGTTGAGATACAAAATTTGTCTTTTACGAGATTTAAAACTATAGTGAAACAAAAACTTTATACTAAAAGTTATTATACAACTTCTGCGTACTTGGATGACAAAAATCCGTGGTAGTAACCCGTTTAGCTTATGGAGGTAGTCTCGATCTCTGATGTTTCAAATAAAAAAATAAATATTGTAAATATTGAATGTTTACGATGTGTTTATGTTGTTGTTTGTTATTTACAAAGAGCAACCCCTAGAGTTTCTTGCTCTTCTTAGGGGAATCTGCCTTACGAATGAGCGGTAGAGTTTAACCATTGTGACGATTTCAAGTGTAATAATGCTTACCTATGAAATAAAGATTATTTTGACTTTGAATTTGAAAAACGACAATTTGAACTGCACAACTTTCTGTCGTCACGACATAATGAGAACGCGCCTTCGGAAATTATTACAAGAGGGCTATTTAAAGTTGTTTAAGAAAAAAAAGGAAACCAATTTTAATTGCTAAATGGAAAAGCTGAAACTGTCTAGTTTCCATATAACAAATGAAAATAGAGTTATAACATTTTTTTCTTAAAAAACAATACCTTGAAACGCGTTCCTGTTACATTTTCCAAATGCACGTTAGACATTTTACCTTTCCAGCATCGATATTATTCATCATCATCAACCCATTCATACGTCCCACTGCTGGGCACAGGTCTCCTTTCAGACGAGGTTTTAGATCATAGTCCGCCACGCTGGCCCAATACGGGTTGGGGACTTCGATATTATTCGATCGATATTATTATTTACTTACTATTCTAGTTAGAAAACAAGAAAATGAAAGAAAATTATACATAACAATTTTATTCTTTATGTTTACGATACAAAAGTCCGCTCTCAAACATTTTTTGTATCTCTTCAATTGACCTACCTCTCGTTTCTCTCATAAGAAAATACGCACTAACGGTCAATAAAATACATACGAAAGCAAATGCCAAGAATATACCGTCAAGCCCTAAGTGTTCCACTGCAATTGGAAATAATGCTAAGACGATGACGTTAGCTAGACACATTGCGGTGTTCGCTATTGTACTAGCAAGGTTCTTGAGCTGAAAAGAAAAACATTTAGTTACACGTTCGAGCAGGGGCTCACTGTTCACAGCTCGATTCAGAATTGTTCTTCAACCTTCATAATGTTAATGGACAATCAAAGAAAAGTTTTATCCGACAGAGTAGTTAATGGAAGCCTGTGAAAGTTCTCCAAAAGAGGATCTGAAAGCCCTGAACCAGGTAATGCATAGGTTCCCAAAATTTTTGGCTCACTTCATAAGATATTTGAAAACACGTAGGTACTTATTTTTTACATTAACAAAATAGTTGACAACGAAAAAAAAAATATATGCATATGTGGTGTAGTTTATATAGATAATTCAGGTTTTTTTTTCAAATGCGGTAGCACCTCATGGACAGCACCACCCCCAATTCAGCGCCCTCTGGATAGGGACTACTATGGGCAAATGTTCAGAAAATAGAAAGTACAATGCATTTGCTATCTAAGTACACACATTATAAAGTGGTAGATAGCTTTACTGGACCACATAATATCAAACCGATAGCAAATGATAATGATCTACCTTAGGAATAAAACACTCGGCGACCTGGAGAAAGGGCACTACTGCAGCCCCCATTTGGAAGACACAGCAATAGCCCAGCACCGCTGCAGGTATCGTCCATTCAGGCGCCCAGGACCAACGAAGGAGTGATGCCAAGAGCGTGAGAAATGTCGCAGATAATATCGTAGATGTCAACATTAAGATCTGAAACGCATGTTTAGGAATCGTAAAGAAATCGCTACGCAAAGAGAGCTTATAACGCGGCTTTATAGGACATTTAGAATTCATTTTTTCAGGCATACTTGGCAAAGCGTCGTGGAGGTTATAGTATGTACATTAGGACTTGAAATGCATATTTAGGAATCGTAAAGAAATCGGCGCAGTACAGAAAACATTTATTAATTTATTTCTTCCTTATTCTTTTAACCTTGTAATGACGTGCACTGATTTACGTATTTCATAATTTATTTTTGTAAGTCTCGCTTTTAAATCAGTGTTTATTTTGTGAGAAATGAGGGGAAGAATATTTTTTCAAAAATTCATTAATTTACTAGAGATAATGTGTTGATAAAAAGTTTTCGACAATTTAATGAATTAATGTTATAACGCGGCTTTGAATTAAAATTTGTCAGTTTTTAAATTTATTTTGTACTTAGTATCTATTGAAATTGCATTTAAATTATGGGTGTGTGTTTTATACCGTCAATATAATACATAAAAACACTTCACACGTCTATGTCGTTCAGAATACGTAAGAAAAACAAAACTATAAGAGAGAAGCTTTGCTTCAAAAATCAAATACATTAAAAATTTATCGATTTTATCTCATCCCTGCGACAAACGTCAAATGAAGTGTCACAGGGATCTTCCTGGTTTGCGTTGAGTACAGATGGCGCGCTTTACGCTGGGCCATTAAAGCGACTCACGAGCAGTGTTGCCAGATTAGGCGATTTTTCGCCATTTAGGCTACTTCAAGGGGTCGTGCGGCGACTGAAAAAGTGATCGGCGACTCGGCGATATTTAGGCTATGCTTGAAATAGATAAAGGCTATTTTAGGCTACTTAATAAAATGTATGGGGAATTACAAACTTGATTGGAGATTTTGTGGGGAATGGAGTTGTAAAACAACTCATTTGGGGATTTGAGTATTTCTACGTGTGGGGAATTGGGGAAATAAGAGAGTTCTTATTCCCCAATTTCCGGCAGCAAGTAGAATTATAGAATTGTTTTCCTTGATTTTTAGGGATTTTATAACTTGGGCGAATATCGGCTACTTAACACACATAAATTGGGGAATTAACTTCGCAAAAGTGTGGCAACAATGCTCACGAGTGCTTGTTTGAGACTTGTGACTGGGGTTTAGGAGATTTTGTTTCAGAACTGATTTTTTTGGTTAACTTTAGTTGGGTGGGGAGGAACAAGCTAGTTGGCATGATCCCGTCAAATCGCCTCTTGAAACACCTCCAAAGAAACCACTCATATATCATCTACCATTGCGAAGATTCAGTAAAGTCTGTTTTGTATGGCGGCCATCTTGGATTCCTTGACGAAAAAAATTTTGGTCCCTATTATATTTTTTGTAGCAGTAGCTCCTTGTGAAACAGTTCGTATAGGGAAGTAGATACTGCCACCTAACCCATTTCCGGTTTGGAAGGGTAAGGGTGCTGGTGAAATTACAGGCACTTAGGACTTATCAACTTATAACGGTCGCAGTGGCAGTGCCCCTAGATCTTTACGATTTAAAGCTCTGAGTAGCATTGCAACTGTTACAACAGGCGTGTCGCTTACCACTAATCGCACGGCTTGTCCGTGTCATCACTTGGCACACACACAAAATAAAAAACCATAGAACATGACCAGGATCCTTGACCACTACTGTTTCAAAGCCATTTACCCCTACGTATACCCATGACTCCTATACGTCATTTTAATCCATCTTGACTCCTTCTGGGAGAACAATCATGTCAATGACTGGGTTAGTCAGTCAGTCAGTCAGTGGTAATCGAGTTGTATTTAATATTAATAATGTACCCATACACTTACCCGCCTGCCAATCAAATCGGAAACCATTAAAGACAAAACACTGCCCGTAAAGAAGGCAACAGCCAATATTACAGTGCAAAGTTCGTTAGAAAGATTTGGCGCTGCCTGTCGGAACAATTGATTTGCGTAAGTTACCATTGCGATTGTTCCACCTAGGACTATAAGAAAAGCGTGGAATGTTACAACGAATAGTGCCCGTTGTGCTGGCTTTGATGAACCTGAAAGTACCAGAAAGTTAGATGGAAGATACTTTGTATATGTTATATATTAATGAATTTGTTAGGTAGGTAATTGACTTTGTAGGCAGGTGCATTCAGAGAGTTTGTCCAAGGATGTATTGCCACTTTAACTACAGTTCTTGCTGCCTAGCAGGAATGTGAGAATGATTGCGTTTCGATTTCGAAAGGTAAAAGTGCTGGTGGAATTACCGGTTCAGTCACAGACATATATCTAGATAGTCGCTGCAAGTGTACGTACTTCGCGTGCCCAAAGTAACTGCAATTGTGGATATCGACCATATTTCTTGCATTGACACATCACTAATGCGATACTAGCGCTCAAGGTGACAGCGCATATCTGGGAACTAACATGCCAAACCTGCTGTCGCATCTGTTCTACTTGTCTACAGTTATCTGTGATTCACTTACTTGCCGCTGCTACACTTCAGAACGCGCTCGACTGTTATCGTAGATAAACACCAGTCGAAAACACGAAAAATGCATAATTCTGCCATTATAAACTATAAAAGCACCATAACTGTGGGTAAATGGGTAAACGGGGACGTTTCCTTCCACGGGCAAGAGATTTTGTAATCAGAAGGTGCATAATTTATTTTAAAAACATTTCTTTTCGTTTTGTATGATTTTCGAGAAAACAAATATGCAACCCAGTGTATGCCTCATGATTTGTAATACATTGCGGCTTTTATTTAGTGCGATATATTTGTGATCCTTTGTTAATACGTTATGAATATCGAACAAACGCGCTTTTGTATAATGCATTCAGTTTCGTGGTACGGCCGGTTGTACATTCTTTTGGCCAAACTTAACATTTAGTGATGTATATGTTAGGCAGCACTGTTCTCGATTCTGATCGATTTTGAAAACAAAGGGACGAAAATTATTATGACCTTAGCAATATTATAAAAATATTCTATAACTCTTTTGTTATAACGTTTAGCAACGTTTCGTTCTTTTTTTCAGTTTTGTAGTTTCTATTATCAGTAGTATCCGTAATTTCGATAATTTTTGCAGCACGTTGCCTCGAATGTCCGAATATAGTGAGCCAATAATTACATACATCGCCGGACATGTAGTACGCGTAATACAAAAAAATATAAAATGCAAAGAATTAACAATGCGCTGTCTTTACAAAAACCTGGAGTTGGTCATATGCATGAGTTTATTGCTTTCGAGGACGAAGGTGGTCTAGTTTATCCCACCTAAGATGCTATCCAAATATGCAGAGAAGCCGAGTTAGAACTCCGAGAAATAATAAACAAATCACAAAAATTTCACACAAGGCCGTCATTAAGTAAACCTCCCCTGATTAATAAGATTTTACCATATTTTGTCAGCAGTAACATTTTCGTTTGTCTTGGCATTCATCAATTTGAGCAATTGCCAACAGAAAACCATCTAGTCAAATTAATTAAGGCAGTCGCAAGTTCATACATTGACGTGCGTATTCATTATTTAAGGTAATGGATATGATCTTCTATTAGAGAAAGATGTTATATAATAAGCTCAATTTATTGGAAGGACAATAATTTCAATATTTGAAGTCTGAAGCCAATTTTCAGAGCCATCATCTTAATGTTAACAAATAATCAAGAAACGCACAACGTAATATACATAAACTAAAAACTAGTTCGTATAAAAAAGTAATTACTAAAACCCGCCATTTCAGAAAAAACTGAGTAATGTGATTTAAGTGAAAATGAAAACATAAGTATTGACTCCCGCCGCTTATAATAAGACTATGTAAAAAACCCGAATAAGTGAACTAAGTTACTTAAGAGAACTAGAAAACATAATGTATTAGAACTACTATGGAAAATATTACTGAGTATCCCGATAATTAAACGAAGACAGGGCGCAAAGGACTTGATTCGAAGTCAAAACTCTTAAATAAAAAAAGATAAAGAAACAAAAAAAAACAAAATAAAAACAAGGTGACAAAAAAGTTTTGTTGGCGTAGTGTTAATTGCTAGCTGATAGGGGAGAATGGAAGGAAAATACATGTTGTGCCGACCCCACCTAGCGTGGGATAAGGACAGGAAGAAGAGAAGCGAGTATTCATTGGACGTAACGATATAAGAACCCTTTTTTTTATTACGTAAATTCCCGGCCCCAGAACGCTCCCGCTACCGCCTCTGTATAGCCAGAGTACCTATAATAATTTCATGTTTTAAACTTACAAAGCATTTTCAAAGGACTCATTTCGCTATCAAACCTCGTTACTTCCATTTGTTCCAACAATTCCTTCTCAGCTCCAATATTTGATGACTTTTCAGCAACTAAAGATTTAACTTGAGATTTGTTCTGCTCATTCAATAGCGCCATTTCTTCTAAAATCTCAGAAGTAGCTGTTGATGCTCCTCGATAAAATTGCAAAGATTTTAATGCTTCCTGAAATATGATAGATAATTGTAATACTTTGTCAAACACTAATTTTGAAAAATAAGGTACCTACTGTGCTCAATGGTAACGATACACAGTTTGATATGTTTAAATATATTTGCTAACTTGGAATAATAACGCATAGAAACCTAGCCCGCACACGCTAAGTGAGGCAAATTGAAGCGCTCCCAAAGCCTACACGAGCGGGCGGGCCGTCAGTACTCAAGGTCAATTTGCACCGCGAACAGCTCCAGAATTTTGGCTAAAACTGATGAAATGTGCGGTAAATGAGTGTAAAAATACGTCAGACAAACATAAAATAGATACCAACATCGCATTCCACAAGGAAGTAACGCGTTTCAACTTGTATTTTTATATAAATGTTCACTAAAACCCAAAATTAACGTACTACTAAAACTAGCCTACATGAATTTGATTTTTGCCTCATTTGTGACAGTTCGTTTGAAACTATCATTCTATGCGTTATTCTAAGTTTGCTAATAGTTTTTTTGGAGACAAGATAAAAAAAATTGTTGAATTTACTACATTAAGAGAAGTCCTAGAGCAATGACAATCTAATACCTAGATTACCTACTACGTAGATTCGACATTTCGCTTCTGGTCAAGTGGGATACTCCAAGATATGTTATACTATATACTTAACGTGACCATACGTCCCGCTTTGAGCGGGACAGTCCCATTTTTAGGCGTCGTTTCTAGCTGTCCCCAAAATACATCACAATGTCCTGCTTTGACAAAACTGGACACACGTGACGTTAATTGTAAAAATTGGCAGACTGCACAAGATTAGTTCTTTTTATTTACAACAATCTGCCAAATGAAATTAAACTGTTGCAAGGACATTCTTTTAAATTACAATTGACAAAATGGCTTTTGACAAATTGCTTCTATAGTAATAAAGAATACTTAGAATTTCCAAATAAAAATTTACATTAATTTGAAGTGCAATTAACAGTAGAAACTAAACATGAAATTAATATTTGTACATCTGATTGCAGGTTGAATACAATGTACCTACCTACCTAATTTTATTTAAGACATTAATCATTACTGTATTCTGGCAAATAAACGTATTCTATTCATTTTTTTTTTAAATCATAATAATCGCGATCATTAAAAACGCTTAGTTCGTTATTTCTTATAATTATTACATATCTTTTATTATAATTATTAAAACAAAAATCGAAAATCATTCGATCCGCTCGGATTCGAAACGTCTCGGAGTCGAAGCCACCACGAAACAAACCAGCTGACCTCATGAATTTTTCTATGTGCTTGTTGTCAGATCTTTGTACTGTGTACTTTTTAGCCATAGCGCCATCTATGGAAAATTTATGAAAGTATTTCGTCACCAAGTTAAATACCTTTACAGCTACCAACCCTGGCTAAAGATGTTGCTATTAACTCAAATAATTTTTTTTATTGAATTGATATTCAATTATTTTTTGAAATATTACTCCTCTAGTTTGTTATAAATATTATTACAAAGATCAAACACTTACAAAGATTCCTTCTTTTTTCTTTTTGGGTCTTTTTTGTTTCTATTTGTTTCTTTTCACTAATTGTGTTCTATTGCTGAATCTTTTTTTGCACAGGAAAAAAAATGGACAGTGATTTTTTTATCACCCTGTATATCTACTATAACATTTCAATGCTTCTGCCTTCTGCTTCTTCATACCTTATAAATGAAGAGGCAAGAGACATGAGCCCAACAACTAGTTTATAAAGGTGCAGTTCTTAAATTTTTCTCCATTACCTCATTTTTCCGTTTCGCTATCAAAAATGCTGGAGTCTCCTTTAGACCACACGCTAGCAAGACGAACAAAACACTCAAAGTCAAATTAATGTAATTCACCACATCATAACTACATAACCATCCGATCAGATACGCAATTAACATGCCAAATGTGAATGATAGAATGAGTATGGAACCCAAAGTGCCTCTAATATGGTCCTGACTAATTTCTGCTACAAAAGGGAAACAGATGACTAGTTGAACGCCTGATGCTAGGCCAACGATTAATCTCCCTATTAGAATAAGGTGGCTGTTTCTGGCTGTAGCTATTATGGCCCAAGATAGCTGGAAAAGAAAAACGCTTTTAATTCGAAATATCAGCAATGAGTTTCAATCACAATGCTTGAGACTGACAATAGAGATTACCGAAAATACCAAAGCACATAAAATACATATCTTCTTCTTTCCCATCATGTCTGATATCCAAGCACTGGCGGGCGTCACTAGAAGGTTTCCCAACATCACCAGGGATCCAACTAAATTGGTTTCGAATTCCGTGAAAGGTGAACCAGTTGGAGATTTGTCACTTTGCAGGGTGTCTATCGCGAAAGTTGGCCAAGTAAAGCATAACCCTGTGAGTAAGGTTCCCAGGGACACTGCAAAATCAAAATTTCTACTAACTATATCCAGTATGTATATGTACGTACAGGGTCAAGAGCACGTCAAGCTGGACACATCAGATTTAAATCCAACTCTTTGCCGCTTACGATAAGAAGAACGGTCCAAAGCACAAAGTGTCAAGCTTGACGTGCTCTTGACAGTACGTTATAATGGAGTTTTTATTTTACAATATAATGTGGATTCGTTCTTCTTTCGACTGATAATTGGAAACTTCTGTCTACAAAGTAGTTACATTAAGTATGCCTGATTTCAAATTAACGAATTTCCTGTACTAGGAACACCTATTTAAGTTCCCAGACCTCCTACTGTGACCGGGATTTAAACTTGGAATATCCTTCATATAATACATCCTGGTTCAACTATCGTTTTAGTGACTCGCCATGACCAAATTGAGGACGTACTGAAGAAACCAGGTTAACTGTTGTCTGTGCCAACCCTGACAGGAAAAGGGCGTGAAGTATGTATACGTAGTACTTATACAAGTATACCTTATGCATAATAAGGGGATATTTAAGCAAGACGAGATTCCTCTATTGGCTGTGATACCTTTTTTATCCAACAATACTACAGTACGTTATACGCTAGCGTCGACACATGGTCGACACCCTCTGTTCGCTATACATCTAATACGCACTAAGGCACTAGGGCGGTCACTATTCTACGAGGCTCAAGCCTTGATAGAATCTTTTTATGGTATCAATGCTACTGACGTGTGTGTTGTTAATACTTGGAGACGGTGACCGCCCGAAGCTCTGTGATCGAAATTCAGTAGCTTGTTTTGAGCGCTGATTGATTCTACCCTATATTGACTATGGCTTACATGTTTAGTTTTTGATACTGTTAGTGTAAGTTGCATAATATGAATGAATAAATGAATACAGCGTACTTTCTTAGACGCTGCTCCAATTAAGAACGGTTTAGAAGCGACACTTGGGATATAAAGGCGATTGCATTTATGCAACCGCGCGTTTGTATCGGTGCAGTCGCGCGTTGGCAATGATGCAGTCATCTTTAAATCGCAACTTCTCGGCAATCTACATTGCGTACTCTTATCGGATGCGTCAACTTAGGCCAGGTTACCCTATGTGCGATTAAAGTTAATCCTCTTATGTATTATAATTATGTACTTACTTATAACGGACGCACCAACTTGAACTAATAATCCTGGCATTTTTAACAATGACAAGTAATTACAATACAATACGAGGCTAACACGAATGCGGAAAATGTCAAGACCAAAAGATATAACAATTTAGTAAGTGTTAAAATCTCCGTCGTAAAGATAACTTTTTATGTAAGTGGATCTCGCAACGTACGACTACTGTAATTAATACCTAACGGTAACCCGTTTATGCTTCCAGGGTTTTCTTAAAATAGACAATTAGGCCATTCATCAACGGCTTTTGGCTTCGAATGGCAATAGATAGATAGATAAAACAAATACAAGAAACAAATATTTACAATCACTTAACAAAGTATTACACAAAAGCACATAGAACATAAATAATTAATACATATTAACATAAACACATAGTTGCAGAGAGTGCATAATTCTTAACTGATCAATACATATCTGCAACAGTGTGTTGGGGTTTTTTATAATATCAAGTGACGGGAAGAACGAGTGGTCACTCAGAGCTTTAAATCGCACCCTGAGACACAAGTTAACAAGTCCCACGTGCCTGTGATTTCACCAGCACCCTTCGAAACCGGAACGCAGTAATTTTCACTTTATTTTACTAGCAGTAAAGCTGCTTTTGAAAGAGTTCGTCCAGAGCAGTGACACAGAATAGGTTCTAAAGTGTCTCACTAGATGTCACTAGCGGCAACGAATGCCGAAAGCCAGAATAAAGTTCTATAACAAAAACACATGAGAATTTCGTCGGCTCGGTAACTGGACCCGTAGCTCAGTTGGTAAAGAGCAATGCTGCGGTGCAGTGGACGTAGGCTCAAGTCCCACCGACCGGGTCGACGAAGAATTTTTCTACTGTTCGATCTTTGTATTCATAACAAAACTAGTGGAGTTGTTTCACAATAATCTCAGTACAGAGTACTAAAAAAACCGACCTCAAAAGTACGTGGAATTACGTCTATTTGCTAAGTTTCATCGAAATATCCCCTAGTTCGCCACTATACAGGACTTGATACTGGAGATAATAAAAATAGGTTCTCACTACGACAGTTCTCAAGGTATATCGAGAGAAAAACGCCTTGAATTGGAGAAATAGCAAAATCAACTATATAATTGCTAAAAGTAATTGCTCTTAAATTAAAGTTAGGCGCTATTTATAAAAATGAATGTTCATGAGTGAACAGCCACCCTTTGAGGTGGATGATTTTCTTCAAAATGAGATGGGACCACTATGGAAATACCTCCTTTCCAACAAAAAAAGAATCATGAAAATCGGTTCACAAATACCGGAGTTATCGCGTAACATACATACAAAAAAAACATACAGTCGAATTGAGAACCTCCTCCTTTTTTGAAGTCGGTTAA